GGCCCAGAACCCTGCCCACCACAGGGCTTTCGCAACGCTCAGCTCACGAGACCTGCTGCTATTGTTATGCATATTAGCAAGAGCGTATTATGCAATTACAGCGTATTACACTTAATAAGCTCTTGATATTAATTTGAGCAGTGCAGTGGAATCCCACACGTACTTGCCAAGAGCACCTGTGAATGCCTGACTGAGACCTTGAGAACACCTCAATGACAACCTAACGTCTATTATTGACTACGTCACGAATTTTCCATGGTGTATATTTGTAAACTGTTTGTTGCCATTTTTTTACATGAAAAGTTAGTACTAACGGCAGTAAATGTATCGTCAAATTCTTACCTGATAAAATTGTTTTTCAACTAGTTAAAAATCAAAAAAACCTGGACGATTTGATATATTGATCACGGCATTAAATGCTTGCTATGGGCTATGTATGAGTCACGAGTGTTTGTTCACATCGAACAGAATAAGAAAATAGAAAGTATAATGCAGCAATTTAACCATAAAAATTGAACAGAAACACTTACATTTTGTAAAAAAGTGGACATTATTTTTACTTTTACTATTTACGGTGACGTAATCACTTTAAAATGCACTTGAAAGCAATTAGAAAAGTATTAGTCGACTACGGCCGTGTCAACAGAAGACAGCGCCACTTGGGGAATCACTCATGACTCAGCAAAGGCCTGCTTCGCATGAGACATCTATGCACTCTCGTTGCCGCCGCTGTGAAGTGTGCATATGTTAATGACAAAGAATGACAAAGCGGATGAGAAAGACAGCGCTTAAAGATTAGTGTTACGTCGGCTCAGTGTCACGCGCCAGGAGGAGACGATGACGTCAGTGGCGTCGTCGCTGTCGCCAACTGATACTTTCGGCACACAACAGCCGCATGCAGATATTACACAAGGTCTGAATGCAGCGCATATAGGCGGCTACCTCCAACGGCTCTCACTGCTGGCCATCAAACTCCCCAGCAAGGCATGCTCTCTCATTCACACCCATGGGTACTAGTTATCGTTCCTCCACCCATCCCCGAATCTTCAGCCATATGTGAGCGATGTACATTCGCGCGCGCACACAGCGTCTGTGTAACCTAGCTGTAGGAGCATAAACGCACGGGCAGCTGCGCATCATCAGGCCCCTACATGCCCCAAGTGAAGCCATCCCCCTGGCAGCGCGCGCTAGCTTGTAAACACTGTAAATTGAAGCCTTCCACTGTTGCAACACGCCACTCTAGCCGCTGCTGGCGATTCGCGTTATTGCAGGGGTTGTATTGCACGCGCAAACAAGACTGCAATATTGTTTTCTCTGGAACTTAATTGCGACTGAAATCCCTACAAAAACGTACTGTACAGTCCGGTCATCACACATGCACCGACGGACCATCACCTTTACCCAACTCACCCTTCTACTCCGCCGCCGCCGCCTCCTCCTCCTCCTCCTCCGCCTCCTCCCCTCCTCCGCCTCCTTCCCTCCTCCGCCGCCTTCTCCCCTCCTCCGCCTCCTACCCTCCTCCTCCTCCTCCTCCGTCTCCCCCTCTACGCTCCTCCTCCGGCCGGCCTGCTCCGCCGCCTCCGGCCTCCCACCTTCCGCCGCTCCTCCGCCTCCTCGCTCCTCCTCCATCGTCTCCCCCATCCTCCGCTCTCCTCGCGCCCCTCCCTCCTCCGCGCTCCTCCCCTCCTCCTCCTGCCTCCTGGCCGTCTCCCCCTCCTCGCCTCTCCTCCGCCGCGCACTCCTCCCTCCTCCGCGCCGTCTCTTCTCTCCGCAGCTGCCTCCGCCTCCTCCGCCGCCTCCTCCCCTCATACCGCCGCTCCTCCCTCTTCCTCGCATCCTCTCCGCCGCCTCCTCCGGCCTCCCCGCGCCTCCTCCCTCCTCAGCGCTCCCTGCCTTCCGCCGCTCTCTCATCACGCCCCGCCTCCTCCCTCTTCTCCGCCTCCTCCTATCTCGCGCCTACATTAGCGCTTTTCCTCCTTCTTCACTCATCTCCCTTCCACCTGCCTCTACTTTCTTAGCTTCTAAGCAACCTTCCACGGCTTGCTTTTACATGATATTGTCAATGCAGTTCCCATTTTCATTCTTTCCCGTCCACCTCCTCATCCTCATTGCTCCTCTCCCTCATCATTCGCCTCGTCCTCCTCTGCCCACCTCCGAGTCTTCTCTCTTTTCTTTTCTCCATGATCACCATCCTCGCCACCATAAATTCCGATAGTCTATCCCTCCTTCTCATCCTTCCTGCCCCTCCTCCCCGGCTCTTTGTCTACTCTGTCCTCCTCCCCTCATCCTCCTACATGAATCTCATCATTCTCCTTCTCCTCCTCCCCATGCATCCTCCTCATAATCCGCCCTCCTTTTCCTCTTCTCCTTCTTCTTCCAATGGCATCTCCCTCCATCTCCTTCTTCCTCTTTCCTCATCCATTCTCTTTTCCTTATCGCTTCTGCCACGCAAAACTAATCACTACTCGTAATTACCTGCAGATTCTGACTAGTCTCCTTGACGTTGACTGGCGCAGAAAAGATCGCGGAACATGCCGCCGGCTCGACGACCATCAGCTTAACCCTCAGGAATCCTTGGCGCCGCATGTTTAAGTCTGTTGTTGCTCAGGGACGCCAGTATAATGGAACTCCTTCTCTCGCAGGTTGAGCTGCTATCTCTCTCTGCGCTTTCTTCTTTTCTCTCTCTCACTCTCTCTCTTTCTCTCCTCTTTCTATTTCTCTTCCTCTTCTTCTGTTGTGTCTCTGTTCTCGTCCTTTTCTGCGGAGCTCCTATTGGTAGTCACTGTACGCGTCGCCGATTTCCAAAAAAGATGTGTACCCGTCGTAAAAAAAAACGCCAGCGTGCTGACGTGTGCTCCGCTCCGCTGTAGTCTAACGCGACAGAGGGCTTAGCTCACCATGCGCGCGGCCAGCGCAGCGTGTGTGGAGGCAGTAGAGAACAAACAGGCGCAGTAGGTTTTCCCGTACCGACGAACGCGATGAGCGTGCAGCTACGCAAGCAATCGGCATCTTACGTAGACGTGTGTAAGAGTTGACTGCTCTTTTCTCTCTCTCTCTCATCTCTCTCTCTCTCATCTCATCCTCTCTCTCTCTCTTTCTCTCTCATCTCTCTCTCTCTCTCTGCTCTGTATGTATGTTCTGTCTGTCATGTCGCTCTCTCTCTCTCTCTCTGTTTCTCAACAGCGAGCGGGGAAACAGACTCCTGCGTGGGAACCAGCGCTGGCGAGGAGTATCGGCTTCACTGCCTGTACCGACCTTCTGTTGTCCGCGGGGCTAGATCGTCTGCATGTGTAATGCTAGCAGAGGCGTCGGCGCACGACGCTGGCGTGTGTGCCGTCGCTCGACCACGTCTGCTGCTGGCTCTAATGATGGCTGGCTGCTGCTGATGAATGAATGCGGCTGGCTGATCGCTCATGATGACTGCTCGTTGCTGCTGCTGCTGCTCTGATGATGCTACTGCTGCTGATGGCTGCTTATGAATGCTGTGCTGCTGGTGATGCTGCTCTTTGATGGTGCTGTTGCTGCTGCTGATGCGCTATGATGATGGCTGTTGCTCGCTTTTTGGCTGCTGCTGCGCTGATGATGATGATGATGCAGACGCGCACGGTGCTGCTCCCATGTAAGCAACCGATCACGCCCTCCACAACGAAGAATAACGAGAGAGAGAGAGTCCGTCGGTGAGAGGCGTGGTAATATACGACGTGTATGACGTATGATTAGCATGTATTACCGATGTAACAGTATAGTGACAGCGTGGTGTGGGTGAAGCGATGTCACGCACTAGACTAACACAGTGTGTGCAGCAGAGGTTGCAGCGCGTGTGTTACCGTGCTCGGTAACTCGACGCTCGTGGCTAAGTGACCGCTCGCTCTCTCCTCGTCTCTCATCTCTCTCGCTCTCTTCGTCTAGCTCTCTCATCTCTCTCTCAGTGATGAAGTCTCTCTCTCTCTTCTCTCTCTTCGTCTCTCTCTCTCTGCTTCTATCTCTCTTTCTTATCTCATCTCTCTCTCTTCGCTCTCGCTCTCGTCCTCCGCTCTCTCTCCCCTCTCTCTCTCTCTCTCTCTCTCTTCTCTCCCTCCTCTCTCTGCTCTCATCTCTCTTCAATTCTCTCGTCGTCTCTACTCTCTCTTCTCTCTCACGCGCGACCGAAGTGGTCTTCTCTGGTCGCCGAGGGCGATGCTGCGGTCCTTCTTAATGACGATCAGATTCTCAACTATCGTCAAGTCGAAGCCCTGCAGATAAGAAGGAGAGCAATCAATGGCGACAGCGCGCGTGCCGGATAATTATTACCTTGCGCATTTCTGGGGACTAGGCCGGCGGCGGCGGGGCCAGCCACC